TGCCTAAAAATCTATCGGAGTAGAATTTTGATTTCGGTCAACTGATGGTCACCATTTTGAATTGAATATGAAAAATGGTGAAAAATCTACATTAACAGGTTTGTAAATAAACACAATAGGCCGTAGTTTCAAGAATTCGTCTCCTATTTCTGAAATTAATATATTTCTGGATAGCCTGGCGCATGTTCAGTTTTTGGTATTTGAATATTTCAAAATTACGAGTGAATAATTTCCATTAACGGCTTGAAAATAATCGAAATCGGCCACCATTTCGTGAATTCGTCTTCAATTTCCGAAATTAATATATTTCTGATTAGCCCCCTTCCAAGAATGCGTGGTGGCTTTGGAATCAGTATATTGTCAAAACGTTTTAAGAATCCGAAATCACCGAAATTTACTGATGAAAAAATCGACCTACATAGCTATAACTTTGTGACCTTTTGATTTATTCAACGATGTCATTAGAAATTTTGTAACTTATCTCTCCTTGGGAAAATTAAGGATCAAAGTTTTCAACAAGGTTGCCATCAATGTTTATTTTTGTACTAGTTAAGAAACTACTGATGCGTACAAATAATATGGAGTTTGTCGATCGAAGCGGAAGTGCCACCTTCTTGAAACGTCGGATTTATATTTTCTGAATCCTTGAAGGAATGTCTAAAAAATGTTCAGAGCAGAATATTCATTTAGGTCAACTGGGGGTTACCATTTTGAATTGAATATGAAAAAAAAGTCAAAATTCCACGTTAACGGGCGCGAAAATAACCCAATAGGCCGTAGTTTGGAGAATTTGTGCACTATTTCCGAAATGAATACATTTCTGGATAGCCGGATCAGGGTCGAATTTGTGGTATTTGAAAATTTCACACAATTTCGAATTTCGCCTTTGACTTTTTACGTGCCGACAAATTTGTTTACAATTTCTCAATATTTTTCCGCCATTTTTATACGCCCACATTTTCATGACAGACAAAATGGCCGCCATTCGTTCTCAAATAGCGTAAAAATATGGTATATCAAAGTTGTGGACCCTATAGAGGTCACAATTTTTATCCGATTTTGTTGAAACTTGAAATATAAGTTTATAACCCAAAGATCTCGGTTCCTGTCGATATTCGCGCATATCGGATTGTAACTTCCTGAATTATGGCCCCTGATTGTACGCAAAAACGCGCTTTTTGGCTTGTGGACCCTATAGAGGTCATAATTTTTATCCGATTTAAAAAAAACGTGTTAATATATAACCGTTACACCCTCAGGATGGCTGAATTGAATTTTGTGAAAATCAGCCCAAAACTGACAGACAAAATGGCCGGCCTTTGATTTCAAATAGCGTAAAAATTTGGTATATCAAGGTTGTGGACCCTAAAGAGGTCACAATTTTTATTCGATTTTGCTGAATCTTAAAAATGAGTGTTTATATCCGATTTAAAAAAACGTATTATTATATCACCGTTAAACCCCAAGGACGGTTGAGTTCGAATTTCGTGAAAATCGGCCCAACACTGACAGACAAAATGGCCGTCGTTCGTTCTCAAATAGCGTAAAAATATGGTATATATCAAGGTTGTGGACCCTATAGAGGTCACAATTTTTATCCGATTTTGTTGAAACTTGAAATGTAAGTTTATAACACAAAGATCTCGGTTCCTTTCGATGTGCGCGCATATCGGACCGTAACTGCATGAATTATTGCCCCTGATTGTACGCAAAAACGCGTTTTTTGGCTTGTGGACCCTATAGAGGTCATAATTTTTATCCGATTTAAAAAAACGTGTTAATATATAACCGTTACACCCTCAGGATGGCTGAATTGAATTTTGTGAAAATCAGCCCAAAACTGACAGACAAAATGGCCGGCCTTTGTTCTCAAATAGCGTAAAAATATGGTATATCAAGGTTGTGGACCCTAAAGAGGTCACAATTTTTATTCGATTTTGCTGAATCTTAAAAATGAGTGTTTATAACACAAAGATCTCGGTTCCTTTCGATATTTGCGCATATCGGACCGTAACTTCATGAATTATGGCCCCTTATTGTATGGCAAATCGCGTTTTTAGCTTGTGAATCCTATACAGGTCATAATTTTTATCCGATTTAAAAACCCGTTTTATTATATCACCGGTAAACCCTAAGGCCGGTTGAGTTCGAATTTCGTGAAAATTGGCCCAAAACTGACAGACAAAAGGCCGCCGTTCGTTCTCAAATAGCGTAAAAATATGATATACTATTAAAAAAAAGTAGGGGATATTTGATTTTTAAGTGTTATTAAAGTCACCTAATGAAACTGACGAAGAAACAAATGACAAAATGAAATGAAGTTCACATTCATCGATTTATTCCAAATGATCGTTAGACTAAGTAAGGCACAGACTGACCATTATAAGGGTAAAATGATACCCGGGGTCAAACAGCAAAGTTACCACAGCATCACAACCAAGTCAGTAACGGGTAAATCCTCCTCTGTTTGCCAAACAAGCATTGATCCGACGTAGCATACTCCTAATGAGACGTCTAAGGTCATTTTGGTCCAGATTGTCCCATTCCTGTTGCAACGCAGCAGCAAGTTCTTGGACATTGGCAGGACGACGTTGACGTAACCTCTGTCCAAGCATGTCCCAGACATGCTCGATGGGGGAGAGGTCGGGACTCAGTGCTGGCCAAGGTAATGTGGTGATGTTCTGTTGTTGGAGGTAACCTGTAACGATCCTGGCCCTGTGACATCTTGCGTTGTCATCCTGGAAGATGAAACGGCGGCCATGACGTTGTGCGAACGGCACAACATGGACTGCCAAGATGTTGTCCCGGTAGTACTGGCCTTTAACACGCCCTGCAACAACATGTAAAGCCGTTCTTCCAGCAACAGTGATGCCTCCCCACACCATAACAGAACCACCCCCAAATCGATCATGTCTGATGACGTTAACGTCTTGGAAGCGCTCGTTTCGACGACGCCACACCCTCCTACGTCTGTCCAAAAAATCAACAGTGAACCTTGACTCATCTGAAAACATCACATTGCTCCAGCGTCGATTATCCCAGTGTTGACGATCCCTACACCAACGACGTCTTGCCTGAATGTGATGATCTCTCAAACAAGGGATCACGCGAGGACGTCGGGCGCGAAGGTGACCCCTATGCAGTCGATTCCGAATCGTCTGGCCACCACTCACTCTCACACCAGTGTCTGTTTGAAGACGAGCGCTGATCTGATTTGCTGTGATGACACGATTTCTCAAGGCCAAGGTACGGATAAATCGATCCTGGGCTTCAGTTGTCGCCCTTGGTCGACCTGAGCGTGGTCTGTCCTGTACAGATTGTGTATCACGGTATCTGGACCATAGCCTGCTTATGACAGACTGAGAAACATTCATATATTCATATAGTATATATCAAGGTTGTGGACCCTATAGAGGTTACAATTTTTATCCGATTTTGTTGAAACTTGAAATGTAGGTTTTTAGCCCAAAGATCTTGGTTCCTTTCAATATTCGCGCATATCGGACCGTAACTTACTGAATTATGGCCCCTGATTGTACGAAAAATCGCGTTTTTAGCTTGTGGACCCTATAGAGGTCATAATTTTTATCCGATTTAAAAAAACGTATTATTATATCACCGTTACATCCTAAGGACGTTTGAGTTCGAAACTGACAGACAAAATGGCCGCCCCTCGTTCTCAAATTGCGTAAAAATATGGTATATCAAGGTTGTGGACCCTATAGAGGTCACAATTTTTATCCGATTTTGTTGATATTTGAAATGTAAGTTTATAACCCTAAGATCTTGGTTCCTTTCGATATTTGCGCATATCGAATTGTAATTTCCTGAATTATGGCCCTTGATTTTAGGAAAAATCACTTTCGTTTTAGCTTGTTTTCTATCCATCTCTCGAAAATGTGGTCGTATCCTGCCTGGCAGCCGCTGGTATAGTTCTTTCCCGCCTTTTTCATTTCATGTTTTGATCCTCCCGGTTTTTGACGGATTTTAATAATTATTTTTTCTTGTTGGGATTCTTTATATAATCTATGACATCTGACACTTTATACTTTAGTTAATAATACTTTCATCTTTTTGAAAAAGTCAGACACCTGACGTGAAGTGATGCCTGGTTGAAACATTTCTCGTTTTAAGTCAGTCAGATTTTGGTCGATTTTTTTTTACTAAAGTGACGTTATTCAATTTAATTTTTTCAAAGACTGCAGAACTTTGAAATCATGTCAAAAGTTGATCCCAAACAAACAAAAGTTGGTCATTGGGTGCTTATTTTGAAAGTCTTATCAAAATCGACTGGTAACCAAAGGTTCTCTCCAACTTATAAAATGTTAAACGGAAAGTTTTGCTCGGTTGAAATGTTTCTCGTTATAACTCAGCGCCTTTTTGACCGATTTTAATAATTCCTTTTTCTTTTTAAGATTCTTGACAACATCACTAACATCTGGTGTGAAGTGATGCCTTGTCGAAATATTTCTCGTTATAACTCAGTCAGTCGTTGGCCAATTTGTATACTAAAATCAAACCTAATCTGTTAACCATTTTCGTATTGAATGTATTGTTCAAGGAGCTTTTTCAAGCAAATATGTAAGAATTTACTTGGAAGTAGGACTCAATATAAGAAAAGATATGCTCCAATCCTGTTTATTGTATTTTTATTCAATTATTCATGCATGCAAACCTAACTATAGAGACCAAAATCACCATTTTAGGTTCAACCGTACAAAAGTTATGAGGCGTAATGCGAAAAAAAGCTGGATATTGGCAGTCATCTTGGATTTTGGCGGCCATTTTGATTTTTTTTATCTGACTGCTTGACACTCGAACCAGAATTGTTCCATAGACACTTACCTTCAAATTGGTACTGAAAACGAAATTTTTGCATCGATATGAAATGAAAAAACAAATACATATGCATGCCCCCCCCCCCCACTACACGGTTTGTTGTAAAAACAGAGGCAGTAGGCTTATAAATTAATAAATTCGTATTAAATGTTTTTTGACAGGATCAAAGGGCTTATTTATTTGTAAGATTTCCAACACGTGGTGGAAGTAACATCAATGTAGTTGCACAGTCATGTGTTCTCAACAAAAAATCGGCTGAAATACAAGGAGGACGATTCCTGGGTATTGCTAGAAAGGTTAGTAAATTATCTTAAGCGTTCAGCGCAAAAAACTGATCTGTCGATCCTTATTTTGGTTAATCAGATTAAAGATGCATTATGTAAGAATTAGATATAGAGATGGCCGTTCTTGCTATAATTTTTATAGTTCAAAAATAGTTCTGGGCGAAATTCTGAGTGTTTGAAGTTTTAACAGAGTATAACACACAATGAGATCCGATCAGTTAGTTATTGAATTATAGATGAAAGCTCCTGTGTCGCCTACCATATATCGAGACGTGTTACTTGCCAGTAGTTAAGATGAAAAACACAAGACAGTAGATGGCTGATTTGCCACTAGACCGGCGTGAACCATATCCACCTTTTAATATACTGTTCAGTAGATTACTATGGCCCCTTCTGCATTCGATTTGTTGAAAGAAGGCTTCCTGTACGTCAAGTAAGACAAGACCAGGGTTATTGGTACTTGTAACGAACTCCCCATGGCGTTAAATGACACGGATCCAGATACGATTCGTCAAGAACTACTGAAGGATGAATGCGATTTTGTACAATTAAGATGAATGTTCCACACTCCAGACATATGCGAGGTGTATACGAACCGTTAGAAATGTATTATAAGATGTTTTAGACCACCACAAGAACCAGTTAGATGATGAATCATTGCGAACATTCTTTGGTGAAGCTGAAACCATAGTTAATAGCAAACCACTAACTGCTGTAATCAATGATACTGATAATCTAACACCTATAACTACGACAAATCATTTATTATGGCTGAACTCTAAAGTTGTACTACCACTACCAAGTGTATTTGGCAACTCTGATCAGTATTCTAAGAATCAATGGAGGCGTATTCACCATCTAGCTATTCAGTTTTGGACCAGGTGGAACAACCTTCAAGAACGATTCAAATGAAATAAACCACATAGAAACATTCAAGTCAACCATGTAGTGACTGTTTAAAGTGACAATGACTCTTGTAATAATTGGTAGTTTGCTCGTGTCGTCCAGACTTCAGTGGTAATGGATCAGTTCGAAAAGTTAAACTCTTCCTCGCCGATGGAACCATTGATAAGAAAGGCAAACGTACTAAACCACCAACGTATATTGAGAGACCAAGATTGTTCTATTGCTTCCAAATACATTTGTGAGCTATTTCCCCATCATGGAGCCAAGATAGAGACTGTATTGTGTTGAACATTTTCAAGACCTTATTGTGTTGAAAATTTTCAAAGTGTGAAAACTAAGCTAGAAAATGGAAAACTTTTGTGTTTGTTTATATTTATTTCTTAAAAGACTCATAATAGTGTTTGTTTATATTGTTTTCTTAAAAGACTCATAATAATATGACTTTTAAAGTGATGTGTGGTAAATTGTTGCCAATTAAGGGGAGCCATGTTACGGAGATAGAAGTGTTATCCAACGGTTAAATTTTCATAATTTTAAATTCTGTTTATATTCCGTTCACATTCCGTAATAATTCGTTTTCCCTTTAAAATCAATTAATATTTGGTAGTCAGTCCGCAATTTCAGTAAAACCGGCGACATATGACGAGTATTTTTTACGTGTTTCATATAGAATTAATTGAATTAAAATTGTTGATTTGTTACGACACATTATGTTGAAATCCAGTACGTCTGTGTTGGACTCTGTGTTAAGTCTCTATCTCAATATTTTCCATAATATTCGAAATTAAAAACACGAATAAGAATTCAGTATTGATCAATTTCAATCAATGTCGATGTTGTTATCTATATAACCCCAATATCCAATATTTTAGACTTAATTAACATTTTATAATCAATACGCGAGACGTGTACACTATGGTTTCGGACTTTCGGGTGTCATTTTGTAATGAACAAATACAAACATATCATACAACACAATGTGAAAGTAATTAGTAAAGGCTGGTTCATGTAGATTTAGGCGCGAGATAGCATAAGCAGAAGAACCCCCTTGAGCCTCGTTTTGGACGGAACCAAACACACAGATGTTGACATTGGAAAAATTGAATCTGCCCGTAATACATTTACACTCTCTAAACACAACCATTCCAGCCTACTCCTCGCAGTGTTTCGTTTGATTAGACCTAATCCCACTGCTGTACTGAAAGCAGATTTATGTTCCAAATTATGACAGGTCAATAGTCCGATTAACAACCAATACCTAGCTGCATAACAATATTATTCGGGTTTAAACAGAGCTCCGGGTATGTTTACATAACGTTACGTCATGACTCACGAAATTTATTTTAATGCCCAATTAACCAATGTATAGCAGAATATTGTAGAAAAACTAATTGCGTAACAAACGAGGCTATCAAAACGGCTATAATGTAAACAATACTGCTTGGACACGAAAAATACTTGAGCCGTTTTTATTTTCATGTGGACGTATATTGTCGTCGCCCCTGCCCGTCCGTCCGCCCACAATTGTTTGTGAACAGTCTACAGGTCATAATTTTTATCCGATTTCAATGAACCTTGAAATATAGGTTTATCACCCTAAGATCTCGGTTCCTTTCGATATTGGCATGTATTGGATTGTAACTTCATGGATTATGGCCCCTGATTGTACGAAAAATCACGTTTTTAGCGTGTGAACACCGTAGAGGTCACATTTTTTTTTATCCGATTTGGTTTAAACTTGAAATGTATGCTTATAACCCAAAGATCTCGGTTCCTTTCGATATTCGTGCATATCGGAACGTAACTTCCTGAATTATTTCAAAAACCGTATTATTATATCACCGTTATACCCTAAGGACGACTGAGTTTGAATTTCGTGAACATGGGCCCAAAACTGACAGACAAAATGACCGCCCTTAGTTCTCAAATAACGTAAAAATATGGTTTATCAAGCTTGTGGACCCTATAGAGGTCACAATTTTTATCCTATTTTGATGAAACCTGAAATGTAAGTTTATAACCAAAAGATCTTGGTTCCTTTCGATATTCGCGCATATCGGAACGTAACTTCCTGAATTATGGCCCCTGATTGTACGAAAAGTTACGTTTTTTTAGCTTGTGGACCCTATAGAGGTCATAATTTTTATCGGATTTAAAAAAAAAACGTATTATTATATCACCGTTACACCCTAAGGACTTCTGAGTTCGAATTTCGTGAAAATCGACCCAAAACTGACAGACAAAATTGCCGTCCCTCGTTCTCAGACAGCGTAAAAATATGGTATATCAAGGTTGTGGAGGGGGATGGCGTGACAAGAAGTAGGGTCGCCTTCCAACCTCGTGGGTTTTCTCCGGGTCCCCCGATTTCCTCCCACTGCTAAAGACCCCTACGCGCAAGCGAATTATTGAAATAAAATTACGCCATATGTTAGTCCCAAAATGGCCTAGTTTGTGTCGAGTGGACGTTAAACCCCATTTCTCTCTCTCTCTCTCTTTTTTTATTTTGGTAGATTTGCGTTTGGGAGATCTTCAGGGACCCCATTACCAGATTCCGTTGAGAAAACTTATGTTGCAATTTGTTCTATGTTATCTATTATCGCGGTTTTCTAATCTACTTAAAATCGGAGCCATCCGATGGTCCATCCTCGGTATCGCCAGTCACATCGTTAAATCATCCACCCTTAATAATTGTTCTATTTGTATGGACCAATCAAAAAATTCCATAAATAGCAAGCGAAGGGAAGTAACTCACAACTGAGATCGCAAAATTGTTGTTGCAAACTTTGCCGTAATATTTTAGGACATCGTTTTGTGTGCATGTCAACATGTTTTGATTGGTTCGTAGAATGAACCTACATGACCAATGAAATCATCAAGGACATACCTTGAATTCGTGAAAACCCCGTGAATGGACCCAGGTTTTAGTGGAGTAGAACGCAACGATACCGCTGGGGATAACGGGGATTTCCTATGGCCCAGAGGGTTGATTATGGCTTGCCGTGTTAATAAATGTTTAAATAATAATTTATATAACATTTGAAGCCAAAATAAAAAAAAATAAAAGACCTGCAATAGCCAGATGCATACGTTAGGACATATCAGAAATATACGAAACCGCGAATTCGGCGATTTACATTAATTAATCCCTCATAGCACACTGAATGGCGTATGCCCATCTTCATTAGCCCAGTTCGGAGTAGAACAGTGGGACGTTAAACCCCATTTCATTTCATTTCACATTAATTAATAACAGAGTTATTACCCTTTATCAGTTTGAAGAAACTTGGTCAAGTGGCAAAGTTAAGATCTTTCTATTGGGAAGTTTATGCGCATTGTCAATTGAGTATACCCGGTTTTCAATTGTCAGGGCTGAGAAGTAGTGAGATGAAAGGACCTTATATATTGCAAATTATGTGTATTACGTATTACTAAGCAATAAATTGTTATCATTAATACCTTATAAACAGGGTAGCAATTCGGTGATGCAGAAAGTGAAAAAAAAAAACTTGACATAATTATTATCCTGGAATGCCCCTTAATATAACAACTTAGATTCGAACGCAAACGGCACCAAACTGCTTTGTCTGCAATGGCTTCATTCTAGAAGATCAATCGGTCGTTAAAAATTATCTTTTTACTTTTAAAAACAGCGAAGGACCTTTACCCAACCCTGGTAATATGGTAATAAACCAAATAATATTCGATTTAAGACTTTCTGGTTTTCCCATCGGAAGCAGTCATTCAATTGATTTTCCAAATATTAAGCTGTGTGAGTGCCTTAAATAGCAAACAACGTCGTTGTCATAATAGTGGATTATAGCGTAGGCACCAGTCTAGAGCAACGATAACATACTGAAAATGTTTGAAAATGAAATATTTGAATACAGTAATATTAAATTAAACTCAATTCACTCAAAAGAGGTATACAACTTCAGTCCTATCTTACATAATGTCGATGAACTATGTCATCTACCCAATCTTCGGGTAAAGAACAAATTTTAATGACTGTCGAAGTGACTCACATCCGCTATTCCAGGTGGTGAGCAAGTAAAAGAACCCTTGACAGCTGGAATTCAAAATAACACATTAGCCCGGATTGAGCAGAAAAGTAGCACCTTAAATCCAATTTTATTTCAATTATTATTCGTTTCAGATACACGAGTATGGGACCCCATCTACGCATGACGAAGCTTTAGTTGTATATATATTTAATAAGCCGCAAGCAGCTCGTCTATTTTTCATCAGTGATAAGAGATTTAAACAACCAGATTTTCCACCACCTGCTGGTCATTGTGAAGCGTGGTCTGTTTGTCGATATTATTCACCTGATCGTCAAGAAGGTAAATATAACCAGATAATCAAACAAATATTCTTAATGAAGCTTAATATTCCATAGAACTGTTATTACGACAAAATACAACAAAAAATGATGATTCAGTGGAAACAAACAGAGACAATCAAATCTTACAATCTGGCTTCCAATAAAGCCCACAGTCTGGATACAATTACAAACACTGTTTACTCCACTCACTATATCGCGGTTCCCGTGAGCCTTTGAAATGTTTTGATATTTCCGACATTTGTTTAGCTGTCTTATCAATGCCAGCCAGAAACGCGATTTTCTTAAATGTTTGATATTAATGAACTAACCATCAGAATAAACGGAACGAGTAAATTAATATTATTGGTGTACTGGTACTTAATTGTACTAGATTGTGAAACACAGAGATACATAATAGAATAAAAAGGTCTAGTACTATTGGTCTGATTTGTCTTTTTGTGTTTATGGCTTTTGAAATTGGTTTGTTTTTATGATCGATTTTACTATATTTCATTATCCTGCATGCAAGATAGACTATACTTACTATATTTTAATATATTCCCATATAGGTAATTCACCTATAATTATGTGTCCGTTATGCCTTTGATTTTGTAGACTTTTTGTAATTTGATTATTCCTTGGGATTTATTAAGGACAATATTTGTACTGATCTAAAAGTCTTGGGATTTATTACGGACAATATTTGTATTGATCTAAAAGTTTTAAAATATTACCCCCAGTAACATGTTTTTCTTTTAAATTTATTGTGAAGCTTATTCGACCTTTATGATGTCTGAAGTACGTTTATTGAATGGAGTTAACCACACCCAGTATAAGGACGAATTCTGTTCAAAATTTGCGCAGCTCTTACTGGATTATAACGCTCACCCATTTGTAATCCAAGCCAATACTATAGAATATCTAAGACGCCATTTTACATCTGCTGATACTATAGTCACTTTACATTTATTTACATCGCCTCGTCAGTTAGAAGATGTCATGACTGATGGTAAGTAAACTATCCAATTTCTCCACAAAACCATCGTCACCATCATTGTCACCCATATAAATGCCACGAAAGGCAAACACTGTTAAGAGAGTTGCCATTTGAAAGCTGGGCATGGAAAATTCGTTAGCTTCTGCGTACAGAACTTTAAAATTCCCTCATCCCGTGTCTATATCCCGGTTTAGGTCTCAAAGAAATATATGAATTGGGTTAATCAGTTAAAAATGTACCAATTACTGGTATACCGCCGGTCCGTCATCCGTCTCATATTAATACTGGTACGAATATTGTTTAGGTGGTGTTTAGATATTTTCAAAATGTTGCTTAGTTCCACTAGGCAGATACGGGTACATTACAGGGGCAAAATGATACATGTTCGAAAAATTTAGCTAGTATATGTATAGGTTGACAGAACCGGTTTCAGATTTTGTAGGCTACAGGTTGAAGTTCACGGAAAGGCAGCGTTACTTTTTACTACAAATATATAAACGAACTGTACATGATTTCTTTTTACTGCACATATTTAAACTAACTATTTAATCTCTGTTCCACCCAAGATGTTGCAGAGGCCCCTGGACTGCAGCCCCTAAAGTCGATGCCTTAACACAGCCTTTTGTTTGGGTAGCATTTATGTACTTTTTATACGCCCACATTTTCCTGTGGACGTATATTGTCGTCGTCCCTGTCCGCTCACAATTTGTTTGTGGACACTACACAGGTCACAATTTTTATCCGATTTTGACGAAACTTGAAAAATAGGGTTATATCCCAAAGATCTCAGTTCCTTTCGATATTGGCATGTATCGGATCATAACTGTACGAAAAATCATGATTTAGGCTTGTGGACTCTCTAGAAGTGACAATTTTGATAAAACTTAAAATGTATGTTTATTAGCCAAAGATCTCGGTTCCTTTTGATATTCGCGCATATTGCACCATAACGTCCTGGATTATGGCCCCTGATTGTACGAAAAAACCGCGTGTTAAGCTTGTGGATGCTCTAAAGGCCACATTTTTTATCCGATATAAAAAAAACCCGATCAATTATATCATCGTATCATTTCGTGAAAATTGGACTAAAACTGCCAGACAAAATGGCCTTCGCTCGTACGCAAATAGTGCAACTATATGGTATATCAAGGTTGTGGATCTTGTCGACCATCGCGCATCCGAACGTAACTTCCTGCATTATGGCCCTTGATTTTATGAAAGATCGCGTTTTTAGCTTGTGATCCCTCTAGAGGTCACAATTTTTATCCAATTTATAAGAAAAACGTTTAAATATATCACCGTTACACATCAATGATGGTTGAGCTCGAATTTCGTAAAAATCGAACCCAAACTGCTGGACAAAATGACCGCTCCTTGTACGCAAATAGTGTAAAAGTATGTAATACCAAGGTTGTTGACACTCAAGAAGTCACAATTTTTATTCGATTTTGATGAAACTCGAAATGCATGATTATAATCCATAGATCTTGGTTCCTTTCGATAGTTGCGCATATCGGACCAAAACTTCCTGGATTATTGCCCCTGATTGTACGAAAAATCACCTTTTCTTTAGCTTGTGGAGCATCTAGAGGTCACAATGTTTATTCGATTGTAAAAAAACGTTGACATGTTCACCGTTACACCCTAATGACGGTTGACTTAGAATTACGTGAAAATCGGACCGAAACTGCCTGACAAAATGTCGCCCCTTGTACGCAAATATAACGTATGTAATACCAAGGTTGTTGACACTCTAGAAGCCACAATTTTTATCCGATTTTGATGAAATTCGAAATGTATAATAATAATCCACAGATCTTGGTTCCTGTCGATAGTTGCGCATATTGGAACAATTTTTATCAGGTTTTGATGAAACTTAAAATATATCTTTATATCCCAAATATCGCAGTCCGATATTCGCGCTTTTCAGGTCATAACTGCCTGGATTATGACCCTGATTGTACGAAAAATCTAATTTTTTTTAGCTGGTTCTCTATCCATCACTCGAAAATGCGGGCGTATCTCGCCTGGCAATCGGTGGTTTTTCAAACGCATTGTCTCAGCTTCACCGATGTGAGAGCAAGGATTCTTTAATGGGGGCATTTCAAACATTAAAATATTATTTATTTTTGTGTTGTTCTTTTTAACAGATCGATATCTACAGTTAAAGAGGATACACTCTGATTTAGCATCCGAAATATGTACAGTATTTACCATAGATCCCATTTTATGCCCATAACAATATGTTCAACAACTAATAAAGTTTCCAAGGTTTAATTTCATGATGGACGCCGCAGCCAATCAAAGTCTTGTGTTGTGATTAATATATCAATTTTATGTATAGTATATTTGGTCAGAAATCAAATATATAATAATTAGGATTATAGCTTATTGTTGTGTGTATTGTTCGTTATTAGCAAAAATCTAACTGTGATAATACATTTAGAAATTTTGATTTACTTGTTGTTATCTTTTATATTATTACCACGTATTATATTGTAATTATTGTAGGATTGTTAGTAATCATAATTTTATCCGTGTGCATGTCTATTCTTAATTACGAAAAATTTAAAAAAAAAAGATTTTATAATCTTTAATATTATTACCAAATAATTTTGTTTATATTTACAAAGCTATTATGCACGTATAACATTGTAATTACTGTACGATTGTTAGTAATCATGGTCTTATCCGTATGCCATATTCTTAATTACAAAAAATACAATCTAATTTGTTGTGTGTTTAAATTTTATCAAATTTTATGAATTTGCATAAAACTGCCAATTATTGTTATGTGCTTTGGAAAATTGAATACAAATACCACTGTATGCATTGTTATAGATTTTCTTTTACAGTGTCTTTATGAATGACTATTATAAAAACTATAAGATATTGTGCATTCACTGTTATTATATAATAGTTGATATAACGATCATATCTATTCGATCTATCATCGTTGCTATTCACGGTAACACTTATTTACCTTAAAGTACATATAATTGATAAAATAAACATTTATGGACTTGCTATTTATTCAAATTTATTTTGCCATGGAGATTATTCTTTAAAACAAAAATGAATTTTAACCTGTTTTATTTGATTTACGACATTATCATTCCACGAGTTGCCCTACAGCCACACGATTACAACTTTTGCTCTTTATAAATGACTGAAGACGGCACAAGTAATACACTCAGTTTCAGACGAGTTATCTGCCCCTGAATATGATAATCTTGCTCTCGAACGCGAACGTAATAGAATTTAGTTAGACATAATACAGCCGCATTCCTGTATAATATTATTTTCCATGCTGTCTTCAATATACTTCATTCCGAGACTAGTCCAGTCAATTTTTTGAAAAGAAGGGGGTCAACCCCTAAAAAATTGCAAGAAAGGTTGTTTTTTTCATGGTTTTTGGTAGCGTTGGGTGTACTGAATGACATCAGGGGTGGATTGGGCCATAAGGCGATCGCCCGAAGGGCCGGTCGGACAAAAAATGAAAAAAATAATTTTGTCCAGTTCGTCTAAAAAACCTTTTTTCTGCTAAACATTATATGGGGGGGGGGGGGTATTGGACCGGCCATGGAGCGATGATGATCATGTGTGACACTATCCTGTGTCGCGGCACCAAAAAGGAATTAGATGTGACACTATGGGGACAGATGATCGTCTAGGACCTGCTTGGACTTCACGTTGTTGGATCAATTATCTCAATCATCAATCAATGGACTCTGGAACACCGTTTATGTTGTTACTAAGTTTATCTAACGAACACAGCAAACTACAAAGGTTACATACACGAAACTACAATATGTATGATAGTTACTTTTCGAGTTATTAAAATCTCCAAGATCTGAGTTTAATATACTTTCTAACTCAGACCTAACGGCTTAAACGTGGCAAGAGCCACATACTTCTTGTTAGTTCTAGATAAGGTTCGCGCTAGGATGATGTGTTCGCCCTAGCCTCTAAGCCGAGGAGGCTATAGGTATGGTGATCCCCTGGGCTCCGAATGATTGTCTGGGGATAAATAAAAAACCCGCTCTATAATATATAGAAGTATAATGCATTAGCTTTTAGGGCGGGAAAATTACCATTTTTGGTTAAGTGTTTCATATAGGCACCGTTTAACGTCAACATTATTATAGTTAATTGTACTAATCTGTGCACGAGAGGACTGGACGATAGTACCCTACTTTCCAGAAATGGATACTGGCATAACTGGAGGGAAGTTAGTCTAAGTCTAGACTCTAAGTTTGTAGTCGGACAATGCAAGCTACTTCATTACTCTAGTTTTCGTCACACATCATGTAGGTAAAGATTTCTATATTAAACAGAACACTTTTCTTAGACCTAAAATAACCCTATAGTGTTATACATGTTGTATGTGGCCGGTGGCTTTAACGGGCTGGTATAATAGACTTTCTGGGCCAGGTGTGCTGGATGTGGGCCGGAATTCGGAATCCTGCAATGGGGATTCCGAATTTCATCCGAACAAATCCAAAATTCAAAAAGCAGCTTTCATGAATTTCACTTTCGTCACTCTGTACCAATGTGTCTTGTGGCCTTCCATTACAGGAGGAATCAACTAGCGCTCCTGGCAACAAAAATGGGACATTTTTCAATGAAAATATTCCTACTTATTCAATATTCCTAACTGGTTAATCAAATGGTCAAAATTTTCTCGACTAGCCCCATTTTTAACCAGTTAAATTCTCTTCACTCTTGACGATACAATGATAATAATATGACGATATGATAATTTCACAGGTTGATAGTCGGAAATTACTTGCAGGTTGGGGTTTTGGCCTAAATTTAAACCATTTTCCTTTAAAAGGTACAACTTCGGACAAACACAAAGTCGTCATTTTTTAAGAGAAACACGTGAAACCGACGCAAATGCAATAGGTTGTCAGGGTCAAACTTTTATATGGTATAGATGCCTGGTGCTCTCTTGAACCATTTTCAGGGATATCATTACCCCAGCATCCAAATTTATAAAGGGGCATAACTCTATACTGTTTTATCATAAAATAGCAATTTCGGTCTCTAAATTAATGTTTTGGGGTTAAGTGTTTCCTTGTACCATTTTCGGGGAATCCCCTACCCCAAAAAATATTAGTGTCATATATTCGTAACTCTGCACTGCACTATTTCGTCATATTTGGTATGTACATGTTTTGGCGCCATCCGTAATCCCACCCTACAATGAATATCAAGAAAATACTATAGTTGTTTGCCGATCGTTATCTCGCCGGAAAACAGTTTTATTCAAGTTGACATAAAGTTCATGTCATAATATTATGATGATTATTGATTTTTTTTTTGATTTTTTTTGTTAACCTTAGGAGCAGTGGCTATAACACTGAGTTGCCTGAAGGGGCGAAGATTTAGAAAATTTGAGTCAATAATCTGGCTTTTAAGATCATTGCGGGGAGCAGTTTCTTGTGAATTCTGATAGCGTTAAGATAGTATAAATAAGACCATAGAGGAGTGAAAGAATAATGACAATGCAATCGAGCGCCGTAGGCGCAAACAAATTTCAGATAAAGACTTATAATAACTGAAATTTTAATTTTTTGGGATTAGGCCTGGGGGACTTTGTACTTGGTGTCATGGAAATAAGGATGTGGCTTTTTTGTTTCTATTCTACTGTATGGGAATCCCACTGTGTAATAATTCTTGGAAGTTTACATGCCAAATTGCATTCCATTTATGACTTAATTTGTATGGCACATAGTAAAGCCAGTAAAATATGAGATATTAGTGTTCTATAATGTTAATTAATCGAGAGTTTTTTTTATGTATCATATTGAACAAGTAGTTAAATTTTAGCAATTATGAATACTACCAATAGGTGATTTGAAGTACCAAACTAAAAATAAGTGTCCTCTCGCGTGGCTATATCAATACCAATGTTGAAATTATGAAATAATCCCCCAAAACCTTACTTTAGAAACCAAAGGTGCTATATTATGATGAAGCAGTGCAAGGCAAAACCTATTCGTAAATTTGAGATCTCGGTCATAGATTATGTGTGGGGGGGAGTATGAGTTCCCCTAAAAAGGTATTAGGGATGTACATTGGTTAGACAAATATCAGCCATCTTGGATTTTACCAGATTTGACTGCTTTAAGGGCCCAGTTAACAACTCAGGATATATCTTCAAATGAAAGAATGATCCCAAACACATTAATTTACATGTTCATATTACACTTAGTTATAGGGTCTTAAGCCGAAACCTGTACATTGATTTGGCGACTGTCGGCCATCTTGAGTTTTACTTATTTTTATCGCTTTAAGGGACCAGTTAAAACTACTTCAAATGAAAGAATGTCCTCAAAAGCATTAATTTATATGTTCATAATACATTTATAGGATCTTAAACCAACAGTTTAGGGTTTTCTTGTACAATGATTAGGCCATCTTGAATTTTACCGCTTTCCGGTGCGCAACATTTGGTAAATTTTGAGGATGTTATAAAGTGCACCTAAAAAAATGCATAAAACGTTCTCTAGCCATTTGGGGGGGGGGGGGGTAAATCATAAATTGACTGGACTAGACATGATGTAGTGGTTAATGGCCAAAGACAGTCCATTATGTAAATAGAAAGAACAACCAGGGTGCGTTAGTCCTGAAGTTTTTCTTGCTATTTACACATTAGGACAGTCTGAGGCTATTATCTAACTTAAACCATAGCAACTCTTTGTCAAAAATAATAGACAACCTAATAAAAACAAGAGTCTTGTAACACCCAAAAAATAATGAATAGTTACTTAAACCAACGCCTCGTGGAGAGGATATATTTATTACCCAGTTAAAATTGTTCCTAGTTCTAATACTTATGACAAGAATAATGACTCTGACCATGTCTTGAGTGACATATTGGATATGAAGGAAAATGCAAATCCAAATTGTAACATAGGTTATACTATTTATTCTGATATGTCATGTGGATTCTTAAGCCGATAAGATTTACTGAACCGTTGCAACAATCGGAGTTACTAAAGTTAGTTAGCAATCCATGTTTTGAAACGTCAACAAATAACCGGTATAAATGCTTTTAACACTTTATTTAATTTTCTCTGGTTATAAAGCGGTCTGAAATGTAAGATAATCAAAGGCTCTCGGAAACTATCCATAAAAGAAAAACGAATTTACATGGCAGACAATTACTCTTTAAAGCATATCACACCAGTTTGACATTATTAAATGGAGTTACCTACCCTAGACCAAGTCAAATCGAAACATGCCCAACTTGTTCAAGGATTCAGAATCCCAACCTGGCATAAATATGCAATATTCTTGAAACGCAAATAGATTACACATATAGGCTTCTAGGCATAAACCTATAAAACACAATAAATCAATCCTAAACCTAACTTTACTAATACTAACACACCTGTCACTTGTTATTAATAATAGTAAGTGCGGGGGTACTGCACGATACATAATTTACACAAGAACAGATATACGGACAAGATACAACACGCAGAAATCACAAACAAACGAACAATTCAAAATAAGTGAATGGATCCCGGGCCTGTAGTGATACAGACTTCACTCAAATCATAGAACTATTTAGTTCTATCCTCTATGCACAACGTTGAAGATGAAGCCCATTTTTTACTGTCCAAGGAGATTTACGGCCACATATACCCAACATTTAACCCACCCAAAACAGTTGCGAACTCAGTTGGCGCGTTTTATTCCATGCAATGAATCTAAGAACATAAAATGTGTACAGCTAGATGTAGCCCATCTCTACCTTTTTGTATCAAAATTATTCTCTAGATTTCCATGAATTAATATATTTCATTCCGTATTCTATTACTTGATTCATATCATTATTATAGCATCTCTATATCGTATTTCCATGTAAATACCTATACTAAGTCTTCTCGTTATTTATGTATTTTTAAAATACAGGTGTGACGTTATCCTTTGATGTTGGCGTACCATTATTTCAAATAATGGTACGGGGCAATGTGCAAAGCGTACTAGTTGAAATTTTGGACGCGCGTGACGTATTTCATTGACGTATTTCATTGCAAAGCACGTGCGAGTGTCTGTATTTTAAGTTGTTTAATGGTCTCGATCTTAAGGCATTGCGTAATATATTGAAACAACATGAGAGACTACGCCTCACCTGTTGTTTCAATATATAACTTAATGTCTCACTCTCGACCATTAAACCACACATAATATTTATGAATGATGTGCCATTATCAAACAATTTGAGGTAAATGTGTACATTATATATACATACTTTTGTCCTGTTAGTAAATCTATATTATAAGCTAGATTAAAATTACCGTTGTCTTATTTGTAAATATTATTTGTCATATTGTTATAAATATATGTACATGTTTATATTGTATGATGTCCTAATGGATGTTTCGATACAATAAAATCTTATCTAATAGACCGTATTACCCTTTTTAATGCGCATGCGCGCATTCTGGCGAATACTGTAAACAAACCCGTTTACTGTCAAAATTGCAAATTGTTGTTCAAATTTGTATTA